GAATAGAATAGAATAGAATAGAATAGAATAGAATAGAATAGAATAGAATTATTTATTGGCCAAGTGTGATTGGACACACAAGAAATTTGTCTTTGGTGCATAAGCTCTCCGTGCACATAAAGAAAAATAAAATAAAATACATTCCTCAAGAATCATAAGATACAACCCTTAGTTATAATCATAGGTTACTAATAATCAATCAAATAATACATAGGTTACTAATAAGCAATCAAAAACATACTAGGAAAACAAACAAAACTATGTAAATTGTAAAGATACAATTTATATTTAAGGATGCTGCAACCGTTACACGTGTGAAAAGCAATGCCGTTTTTCAGTGCCGTTGTAACTTTGAACAGCCACTAAGCAAATTGTTGTAAGCTGAGGTCTACCTTCAATGATGGACCTTCTTCCGTGCCCAGAAATAATCTCCCCCTCTTTTCTCCTGCCCTCAATAGTGGTGAACACGAAGGGAGCCGGCGGATGAAAACAGAATTATTGGTGCAGATGGACGGCTTGGCTCGCTCCGATGACCTTGTCTTCGTTTTAGCCGCTTCCAACTTACCCTGGTAAGAGAGCCAGAGAATATGTTTTGAATACATCTGCCTGAGCCTCTAAACACAGATAAAGATTTTACTTACCCAGAGCAGTAAAAGCCCTCATATTTGGCAAAAGCCTTCTAAGATTAATTGGGGGCTTTGAGCTTCTTTGTTAGTATTATTATTATTATTACTGACATTTTGCTTCTGCTTCGGTTCTTGTTCTTTGCACCAGAAAGTACATAATCCTTCAGAAGATCAGCGGATGCCAGAGCAAGCCAAGCTGCTAATATTTAAAAATCAACTTGATGGCCAAGTTATTTACTATAGTTAAGCTAAAGAAGCATTCTCTGCGGAGAAACTCTTTAAGGTGCTTAAATCGTCTGGCGCTTAGAAAAATATGTTCTCTAAAAATAGGGAGAGTTTGGTTTTATTGGAATTACGAGTGCTAAAGTTTGAGGATGAAAATCTCTCTCTCTTTTTTTAACGTGAAGATCCAGTTGGGATCAAAAAGGGCTGCAGTAGAAAAAAAAAATGGCTTTTGTACAAAAGTAACAAAGGAGGAAATGACTCCAGATCCTTTTTTTTTTTCCAGGATCACAGCACAAAACACTTTCCAAGCAAAGGGCTATATTATTCCTGAGATCTGTGTGAATTGACAGAAATTGATACCGTTTTTTACACACACACACACACACTTCGAGATCTGTGTGTGATTTGAGAGAAATTTGTGTCATTGCTATAATGGCCTCCCTGCTGAGGGGCAAATGACATGGGTTTTGTAATTTGTTAACATAGTTAGTTCATATTTTAATTTGATTAGTTTTCTCTCTTTTAAAAGGATGTTCAGGTTTATGAGCTTTTAATGTCCCTAAACTGGTAAATATGCTGGAGACTAGCTCCAGAGAAGAAAAAGGTCGTTAGTACAAATTGGGGTCTGGTTTTTATCTCTTTTGTGAATTCCAATCAATTTTTTTCTCCTTAACAATCACACGCCCCTTCTGACATTAGACCTCCTTTTAATGAACACGTGTCATCTTATGGGATGAAAATATGTAATGGGTTTGACTACATGTAACTGATGGTCTCTGCAAAGGGGAGGTGTTGTGGTTAGCCGGCAGCAGGTGCGGATGGCTGAGGAGAGCGAGGACTCAGATGAAAGGCCAGGACCATTAGGGAGTGGACTGCTGCCTTCAGAGATTGTGGGGGCTGGCAGCAGCGATGAGGAGATTCCTGAGGAGCCTGTGCCAAGTGCGCGTGCACACAGGATAGCTCGTAGGAAAGAGTAGTTACAACAGCACGGGCGACTCGGGAGTAAGGCTGCAAGGTACTGGCCCCTGCCTCAAGAGGATAAAAGCTAGCTGTGAAACGAACGTATTTTGCAGAAGGCAAAGACGTTTTGAAACTCCAGCCTCGTGGACATTCCAGTATCCTGAGTTTATATTTGAAGATTCTTGTATTGCAAATTATTTCTTGTCTGTTATCTTTTGGCAAGTCTCGCACCGTTTGGCAAGGCTTGTGCATATCACAGCTAATTATTTTGTAAAAGCATTACAAGGTTTCTGTTCCCTTTGGATTGTGTTTGATTTGTTGGAAAAGGGCATGGGTCAGAACAGGAGGTGACTTTTACCCTGTCCAGTCAACTTTTCTCTTGCATTTTCTATGCTGTGTTAATTATAAAAAGGAATGCAAGATGGATCTCTGGGTTCTCTCCTTTTCGTAGGGAGATCCCATTTTATCAGGGTACCCTAATAAGCTGCTTTTAAATGATCTTCTGACTCAGTCACTTTGTGGGTAGATAAATTAAGGCAGAACCTAGGGCCGAATTTGGCTTTCGCTGCACAAAATAAACATGCTGATACTCATGGCATCATTTGTGCGGTGATAGAAAGTCAGCTTATTTGGTGACCTTTCTTACCACAATTGTTAAGCGAATCACTACGGTTGTTAAGTTAGGAATACGGTTGTTAAGTGAATCTGGCTTCCCCATTGACTTTTACTGGTCAGAAGGTCGCAAAAGGGGAGCGCATGACCCCAGGATGCTGCAAATGGTCATAAATATGAGTTCGATGCCAAGCGCCTGAATTTTGATCACGTGGCCATGGGGAGGCTGCAGTGGCTGTAAGTGTGAAAAATGGTCATCAGTCACTTTTTTCAGTGTCGTTCTAACTTCAAGTGTTCATTAAACAAATGGTTGTAAGTCAAGAACTACCTATAATGTAGAAAAGGCCCTTGTCAGAAAGCAAAGTCCTATTTCAAGGGCATGTTGGTGTTGGATAAAGCCAGTCTGCTTCTCTGCTCTAGCTACCCCACACTTTGAGCATGTAACAGCTTCACACCTGGTGTCATGCCCCGTTGGAATCTGATTCCAAGGGGGAGGTCGAGCAGCTGACAGGGAGTGGGATTGTGGCTCCGATGGCTATGGAGGAAACTGGGGAAGGGCACAGTCTGGCTGGGAAGACCCAGGCCCACCCCCTCTTCATCCTAGGGCACACAGAGAGGAATGGAAAAGGGAGCAACGTGAGTTGCATGGGTTACGGGGGAGAAAAGGGCCCTGATTCCCTTCATTAGCTGCAGCTGGGAAAACAGGATTTTAAAAAGGTGTTTGCGCACAGCACCTTGCTGGAAGCAAAGCGTGCATTATCTTCATTTGTCAAGTCTTATCTGGGTTCTGGCACCCTCCCAACTGTGTGTGTTTCGTTATCTTTTGAAGTATTAATGCCTTATCCTGCCCTGTCTTGTTAATTGCTGCAGCTTTGTGGTTTGTGTTGGTTTTTATTTATAATTTATATGTACTTTGGGTTGGGACTGAATTTCTTCCCTTTAAAAACTGTTCTTGGGGGAGTTGTTTCTCCAGCCAATGATAACTGGACATTGGGGGCCAAGTTGGAGGTATTGAAGGGACTTTACCTACTTTTGTGACTTTGTTGCTTTTTTGCCACGCCCCTTTGGGTCATCACACCTGGTCACTGAAAACAGAGAAGAAGAACTGGCTGTATTCTAAAGCATGGTGCATAAGCTTAAACTCCATCTTTCGTGTGTTCACCCTGATGGTCTATTCATACATCAGCTCTTGGCTCGAGTGAAGCCATGGTCATATGAACAAGCTGTCAGGATTCCGGCGATTGCCCTAATTAAATCATAAGCCTCCAGCCAAGCTTCAAAAAAACTTCAAAAGACTTATTAGGAGCAACAGGCCGGCATGACCTATATAAGCCTAAGTGCTATTGCTATTGCTATGACCTGTATGAAGCTGACTTTTGAGACACGTCGTTTACAATCCCCTATGACCCTGTCTTCCCTCCCCTCCCCTGGATGTATCATAATTCAGCTTCTCCAACGAAACATGTTCATGGGTTGGGTGGTCTTCACTCACATTCTCCAATAAAGGATTTTCGGGGCAGAATACCCGGTTGCCTAAGTTACAATCTTTGTGAGATAAGCTTGGAATGTGCTTCTGATTTTATTTGCCGTATGGTCCTTCAGGTCTTCCCCTCCTCCCCCTCCCTCTGTCTCATGGCAACTTGGAAACAGGCATAAGAATGTTTTACAAGTTGACACAAACTTTGCCTCTACTGGTTCAGTTCTGGTTTGGGTGGTTCCCTAGTTTTGGTGCCTTTTCAAGAATCTTTTTACTGCTTATACTTGAGGGAAAGAGTCCCGAGATCCTCTCGCTAATAGAACCGTGTCCAAGGATCCCTTATTCCCTCCTAGGGAACTGGATCTCCAAGGATCTCCTTACTTCCTCCTAGGGAACTGGATCCCCAAGGATCTCTTTATTCCCTCCTAGGGAACTGGATTATGCCATGCTGCGCCGACTGGAGAAGAGGATTCTGGTCGACCTCCCCAATCAAGAGGCCCGGAAAGCCATGATCCAGAATTGGCTTCCCCCCGTGAGCAACAGTGGAGGAGTGGAGCTGAGGACGGAGCTGGATTATACTTTGCTCAGCCAGGTGAGGAAGAAAGTCACCCAGGTTATCCAGGGTTCTTAGGAATGACCCTCGTACAGGAGTCAAGGAATTGATAGAGCAGGGGTTGTCAACTTTGGCCACCTAAAGATGCGTGGACTTCAACTCCCAGGATTCCTTAGCCAGAATAGTAGAGCCGGCTGGAGAATTCTGGGAGTTGAAGTTCACAAATCTTTATATCTCCCTTTTCTCATCTTTCTCACCTTCTCATCTTTCCTATTCTCCTGTTGGTATCTTATAATTTATCACAATGTTTTTATTGTATGGTTTAGAAAATATGATTTATTATTTTGTTATTTTTATGTACACTGACAGCTTATGCACCAGAGGCAAATTCTATTCTATTCTATTCTATTCTATTCTATTCTATTCTATTCTAT